GTCAGCCTCACGCCCTCATGTCACAACAGTTTCAACGCCTGCTCAGTGGTCAGGTCAGTAAGTACAGGACCTTACAACGTCACACCAGGCTTTCTGAAGAAGTGCATGTTGACCATGCCTCGATATTGTCTCTCCTCAAACGAGAGTTTTTGCTATTCCACTCAAATTATGAATGAGGAATGTTATGAATTAATCAGAGTAATAACAGGTAGTGTAATAAAAGAGTCGTGATTCAAGAGTCGTCAATACAAATGAGGACCTAGGCATTTATAGGCACAACAGGGCTAGCCGAGAACCTCGCAAACAGGTTAGGGCGATTCGGCTGGCAAAAGCCACGGAGGCGCCGCGCATTAGGTTTGGGTTTACGAAATGGTTCGGACCGAGGAAAATGGCCGGGCCTGGTCTTCCGAGGGTCGAGGGCGTACGCGCTGTAGTTGAGCCCAGTAAGGAAAAGGAATTTTCCTTACAAGGAAGCAAGAAGGCTCAATGTGTACTCCAACCCGTTGGATACCGCTTCTAGTGATTATCGAGCGGTCGAGCGTGGTTCACTCCAACTCCACAGACGAAACGGAAATATCTGAGGTGTTTCGGTAACTCGCTTCGTCGATTCTCGTTGCCACTTTGTGGTTCATAAAGGCTTCGCACGGTTCTCCCCAAGGGCATCCCGAACACTTCGATAGTAAAGCTCACCACACAAGAACCCCCTTTATCGCGCAGAAACGCGCAGACTTGCAGCATACCGAGCTACAACACACCGGATCCTTCAGTCCAAGGTACCATTTCAATTTTTCGTCCAATCAGCTCAGCCCACGTCCCTTCCTCGGAAGAACAATTAGGGCGCGTGACAATTTGAACGTAACGGGATTGGGGTGCAAAATTTCTAGTGGTTACCTTATTCGCGAAAAAGACGAAAGCTCTAGCGAATACCCCCAATAAATTATGTCACATCTGGGTACGTCCCGCTAAAATTACAGGGCTCACTCGCGCACATCCGAACCTGCCGGACCAGTGTCCACATTTGAGGTCCAGCATGACCACATACCCTGTCATGTTCCGACGGTGTGCATTATTACTCGTAAGCGAAGAGGACGACAATGTTACACACCGAAATCTGCATCTTTAAGATTGGTGATTGGTGGCGACTCACTAGTGAGATTTTTTTCATCGGACCAGTCGTAACCGTCGCACAGATTTGACGAAACATTGACGATTTTACTTTGTCGTCGCTTGACTGTGTACGGGCCACGTGTATGAACGGCGTTGTTCCCTCGACTGGGTACCGAATCCAGTTTCAATTCTTGCAATTTTGGAACCTGCTTTTCGATCCTCGAATGTTGACGAGTCCGCCCCGGATGCACGTTCATTCGGTATGGACTACTGTATTTTTTTCAAAATGTCACACGCCCTTATCATCCATCACTCACACAAGCAAAAGGAATGGGCTGGGACACTGGACTAGGCCATGCTCCATGAACATCACCCTGAAAACTAGCCCCATGAAGACTCGAAGCTGTGGTCTCTCTAGAAGCCTTCAGTAAAACTATGGCTGCCTTCCGTCCATAATTTCTTGTCCCTTAGAGAAAATCGACTGGTTTGTGCGGCTACCTAAAGTTTCAAGCCGAGCAACGTCCTACAGTTCGCCGCCATGGCATATTCATGCCTCGCCCGATCGACCTGCAGAACGGCGCTGTCGGTGGGGAGCCCGTTTGGTCAACGGTTGGATCAACGGACCAACAACTTGCAAAGGCATGAGAGCAGTGGCTTAACCGTTCGGCCAGTGCTAACGTATAAAGTAAGGATGTTAGGCTTTACATTAGCTGCTCAAGAAGGGAAGGCACAGATTGTCATTTTAATCTTCTAGTCGAACATGTCTCCTTTCTCGTACAAAGTCTGCTCCTCGGATGTCCAACGGTCCTTTAGATCTTCGCTAAGCGTTTTCTTCTCGCGAATTCCCTCCATGTGATCCCTCTCAGCGGTTTTCTGTCCGCGCAGTCGCCGTATCTCCCAGCAGCGCTCCGGATGGCGTTGCGGGGGAAACGGGGCGAGCAGGGGGGGCGCCTCGCGGGGCGAAGCAGGTGGTGCTGGTGGATCCGGTCGAGGCGAAGCGGCTAGCGCAGGAGGATCTGAAGAGGCGTGCCAAGGCTGCGTCGAAACAGGCAAGCGTTTATGTTAGAAGGGTTTTTTTTATGTACGATGGGTGCAGAGCTGCTAGCGCATGAGGGTCTCAAGAGGCGTGCCAAGGCCGCGTCGAAGCAGGCAAGCGTTTTTTGTCAAAATCGTTTTTTTTTTTGTATGATGGGTGTAGAGCTGCCAGCGCAAGAGGATCTTAAAACCCGCGTGCCAAGTAGTTCAATGGTAGGAAGGTTGGTTGGAAAGGAGAACGGGATAGGTTGTGCAGTAGTTTTCCAAGGGAACGCTCAACCAAAGGTAGGAAGCTCGAGGCAATTTTGGGACATTTGGTACGCGGGTTTTAAGATACTTCCGAGGCGTCGTCGAAACAGGCGGGTCTCTGTGTTGAAAGCTCGTCCATGCGTGAATTAGCGTTTGTTACGACATCTGATGGCAGCCTTGCTAAGTTGCTCGCGTCGAACGCAAGATAATTGTTTGATGGAGAAGTGCCTACCTTTCCACTTCCTCTCTGTCGTCACTCTGTTGCGCTATTTCAGAAGTGGCGGGAGATTGAGGCTATTAATGGTGCATGGGCTGTCATTGGCATCTTTGCTGCGCTAGTGGGAGAGGGCTTCACTCAGACTGGCATTCTTGGGCAGGTGAGAGAGAGAATGCTGTGGGTGACTTCCGCTAGAGCATGAATGGGTTTCCTGTTTATGTGTGGGTGTAACATAGTTAAGTGAAATCTGGGACAGAAGCAACAGTGGGTGCTGATGGACGCATCTTATTGTAGTAGGTGCCACACGCAAGGCTCAGCCACATAACCTATATCTCCATTCGTTTTTTCTATCCATTCTCCTGTCGTTGGTCAGCTTGCAATATACCTCGAGCTTGTTGCTGGTGCAATTGATTCCCTTGCGAAACTTGTGGGAGGCATCTAATCTACTGCGGTAGAGCACATGAGTGCTTTGTTCTTTTTTGCAGCTCACATAGCTGCCATGCTTATGGAGTGATGGTTAGGGGTTTCTCATGCGAATATTGTTAGTCATCTCTTGTACAGAGTTCCAGTTTTATCCTTCAGCAGTTTATACTCGTTATGTAGCGTTGACTCACATGATGTACAGTGTGCCGTCTTTTCAGTTCCCTGGTCAGTGGAACAAGCGTACTCCGAGGACCACAGAAAGTTGATGATTGGACTGTCGGTTACTGCGCCTTCCGAATCCCAACTCTGCTTGAAATGCTGCCAGCAGTTGCAAAATCATGGTCGATCTCTCTCATCACATGCAGTCAGGTGGAAGGAGAGAGAAACCTCCAGATTTGTCATGTGATGTGAGCCTCGAATTCGCTGCACTGTTGCGGCAAAGCGCTGTTCGCTGGCTCACACTCTCCTGGCCTATCTTGTTAGGGCATTTCCCCACACAACCAAAAGGCTCTGACACTCGGTCCCACTTCAAAGTTTCCCGCATGTTGCTATATCGAGGGTTAAGTTGTTGACTGGTCGTCTGCTTCATCACCATCACCTTCACCTTTGGCTACTTTCTTGCGTATGTCACCGTGCTGAAACAAGAGAGACCGAATTAAACCGTGTTGAATGAAGAATTTGAGTGGGATTCGCGTGGCGCAGAATTATGTGGGGTGCTTGATTTCGGCAGCACTAGCGCTGTGGACATGAATGCTGTAAGGTGTAACTGTCACGATGATGTGATCCTGTTGGGACACGCCATGTACCTGTGGGCTTTCTATGCTGTAACTGTCGAGTTGCGCATGTACGTATGTGTTCTCAAATGAAGACAGAGTATGCATGGCGTCTCATGATCGCCAAGCACAGAACATCCAAGCTTTGTTTGTCGAACACGCAGGCCTGCTTTGTTTGAGGAGTCTCCCTCCATCTCCAACTCCGCGGCCCTTCGCCTCTCCACTCCGCCTGCCCTTTTTCTGGAAATGGTCTGGAACTGATTATTTGCTTCCTAACCCCTCCTACAAGACGATTAACGAAGACTTTGAGTGAAGCCCCAAAATTGCTGAAGGGACACTTCAGCGACGAGGCAACGCAGAGGCAATTTCGGCGGGCCGCCGTGCAACCCCCACTCGCGCGCGCCGAGTGCAGAATACTCGTTTGTAATCGACTCGTTAGCGTCTCAACGAGACACGGACAGTCGCCGTGAGTGTGACAGTGTGCGGCTTTTACTATGGTAGACACTCTTACTTGCTATACAGCTAGTCGTGATGATGATGTCGCGAGGGACGAATGCGACGTCGTGACCACCGCAGGTCACGGCGAAGCGGCAAACTCGGGGAAATTCGCGCCCTCGCCGCGCGCATCGGCGGCGGCGGCGGAGGAAAACCCGGCGAGCTGCGGCATGAGCCACGGCATCGCTCCGCAGCTGTACGACGATGACGAGCGGCGCGCGATGTCGCGGGAACTACTCGCGCTTCAGTCGCAGGAGCTCCGCCTTCTGCAGCAGATCCAGCGGGAGGAGCTGCGCGCCATTCTCCACGGCGGCGGGGGGGACTGCGGCGGCTGCGGCGCCGCTCCGCGGCCGCCGACGAGGCTAGACCAGCGCGGATTGGACGTGAACTTCTCCCTGCTGGCGATGGCGGGGATTCAGGATTCCGCGGACCTCTCGCTCCCGTCATCTTCCGGGCGCCTGGCGGGGATTCTGGACCCCGCGTTCAGTCCCGCCACGGGCGGATGGGGCGGCGGAACCATGATCCCCCCCGCCTTCAGTCCCGCCATGGGCGGATGGGGCGGAGCTAGTAACCCTTCCGCCGCCTTCGGTCCCGCCATGAGCGCGGGATGGGGCAGTCTGAGGCGGGGTGGCTCGGGGAGATCAGCCTTAGGCGTAGCGGGGATGCAGTGCGGTTCAGAGCGGCGATCGCCGTTCTCCCGGTTTCAGCTAGCCAGCCATGTTGCTGTTCCTGGGGTTGATTTTATCGGGCTGCGGCCGTCAGACTCAGCCTGTTCAACAGAAACGGCTTGTGAATTCGAGCTTTCTCAGATGGGCGCAATGTGCGCAGAGCTGGGGAAGGAGGTGCGGGGAGGGCAGGCGGGGGAATGCGCAGGGCCAGAATCCGCTGCAGTCTCATCCGCCGCCGCTTCGGCCGAAGAACTAAGACTGGAGAATTTTGGAGCTTGCGAATCTGGTGGAAATTCCACCAGCAGTGGATGTTCGTCCCACTGCTCGCCTAGCAGCAGCCAGTCGAGCTGGGGACAGGCGGCAGCATGTGACGGAGAGGGGGAGAGGGGTGGTGATGAGGTTGTAGGGGTTGTTTCTAAGAGCCATGAGAAGAAGTATGATGCCAGCGTTGGATGCAGCGTAATCAAGGGTGATGATATGTGCAGAGGTAGGAATGGTAGTAAGCCAGGAACAGCATGGTGGCATATCGTGGGAGGTTGTTTCAATGCTCCATCTGTGAAATAAACTTTACCGTAACTCAAAATGTGCATTGTTCGGTTATCGTGTTATCGTGTTATCGGTGTTGCTAACAAAATGAGCAAATGACATGTCTGGCCAATCAAAATCCGAGGCTTGCCTCTTCTAGGACCAGCACTGCGCTGCTTGTTGCGCACGCAATCCCCACCAGAAGCCTCTGGTTGGCGGACAACTGGTTGGGTACGAGCCATCTACAATAGCGGTTGGGTCCGTTTCAAATGGTTTCCATTTGGTTGAGCGAGGCAGTTCATTGTCGGAGTTCTCGAGAGAACCTGGTCTCACAGACAGGGGAAGGGAGGAGCAGCTGATTGGAGGGATTGGAGCTGACTGGACGAGAATCTGGAGCTGACAGACAATGTGGAGTCAAATTCCTGATCAACGCCCAAATCCAGCCGTGAACTTGTCAGATTCTAAGCTGGAAGACCAAGGCTCTTAGAATCTGGGTCGTAGGAACGAGGCCTCTAGAAGCACGTACCTCGCACCACGTATACTTGTGCCGGTCTCCGAGCGAATTCATTCCGCCTCGCAAGCTTGTACTGTTTCTGCGTAGCCATGGCTGCATTGCATGCGGTGTCACATGTTACCGGGCTCTCGTCCATAGCCCGTGCTTCTCCCAGCGTTCTTTCAGCTCAACGGAATTCCTTGTTTCAGGCACCTCAAACGGCTCACCCTGCCGATAGGTGCCTTTTGCGAGGCGATTTTCTGCAGAGAGGTTGTTTGCGAGCAGCCACGTGGCAAACGGGCACTGGTGGCCAGGGACTGTCGCAATCGCTGGTTCTTGGGCGGAATGATCCGGCGTCGAGACAAGGCCGTGTTTCAGTGACCGGTGCGTGCGTGTTTAGCTTTCTTCTAAGGTCGTGCATTCCAGATTGTCACATGGTTTTTCATTTTTCGCTTCCTCCTTCCCCCTCCTTCCCCTCCTCCCCTCCCTCCCCCTCCCTCTTCCTCCCCCACCCCCCACTCCCCCCCTTCTCCCGCGCGCATCACAGCTAAGCATCCGCGGCATCAGGTTTCGACGAGATGGTGGCGGGCACGATGCGCAAGTGCTACATGGTGGGTGGCTGTGTTTATCGTGCCCTCTGCCTTGATCCCCCTTCCCCCTATCCCCCCCTTCCTCCCCCACCCCTCCCTTTCCCCCGTGCGCGCATCAGCAGCGGGACTCGACGAGATGGTGGCGTGGACGACGCGCAAGTACCACATGGTGGGGGGCCTTGACGCTAGTTTTTCCTCCCTTGGTCCCTGCCCCCCCTTCCCCCCCCCACCCTCTCCCCCTCTCCCCCTTTCCTTTCCCCAGTGCGCGCATCAGCAGCGGGGTTCGACGAGATGGTAGCGGGGAGAACGCGCAAGTACTACATGGTGGGGGGAAAGGGCGGCGTGGGGAAGACCAGCGTGTCGGCGGCTCTCGCAGTGAAATTCGCCAACGAGGGCCATCGCACACTCGTAGTTTCCACCGACCCCGCCCACTCCCTCAGCGACTCGTTCGCTCAGGTAGGTTTTCTGGAACCTCGGATGATGGTGGGGGATACGAGGAAGACATGCTTGGAGACATGCTTGGAGACATGCTTAGGGAGGGGAAGACCAGTGTGTCCACAGCTCTAGCTCTAGCGGTGAAATTCGCCAACGAGGGCCATTGCACGCTCGTGGTTTTCACCAATCCGGCGCATTCGCTCAGCGATTCCGTGGCACAGGTGAAGCTCAGGTGCATCCTCTGCACTGGAACTGGAAAATCCCTACCTGCTCAGGTGTGCTATTCCCCCCAGGTTTCTATTGCTGTTCCCCGCAGGCCACTCCCGTTTCCCTCTGCTTTCTGTCCCCCTGCTCCCTCCGTTTTCCCTTTGCCCCCATGCTCACTCCTGCCACTCTCCGAATCCCCCCTATGAGGAACTTCGGTCAGAAAAGCGTGTCAGGGGGCAAGCTTGTGGCTGTCGAGGGAGCCGATCTGCCCCTCCTCTCGTGCTGACCTCTTTTTTGCCCCATCTCTACCGACCTTCCCCCCCCTTCCCCCTTCCCCCTTCCCCCTCTTTTCCTCAGGACGTGTCGGGGGGGATTCCTATGGCTGTGGAGGGCACCGACCTGCCTCTGTTCGCCATGGAGGTGAGTACAACGGACGATGTGACTGTAACGGGGGGAGATAGTTTTCTGTAGGCAGGGAGGGATTGGGGGTGGGTGGGGGGAAGATGGCGGGGTTGGGAGGTTTAGTAAATGAGGAAGGAGATATTTTGGATGGCACGATCATGTGTAACACACACGCACCCATCCTCCCTCTCTCAATTTGCACCCCATCCCTTTTTTGACGTAGCAGATTGACACAGAGCAGGCATGCTAGGAGTTCCGGTCTGCAGCAAGCAAGGACGGGTGCAGGGGGTGAAGGACTTCCGTGGTCGCCCGTTCCTTGCACCCATCTACCTTGACCCTGTCTTCCTCGCGTTCCGTACCTTGCATCTCTTCAAAAAGCACCCCCTACCTTGCACGCACTCCCTGGATTTCTCCTTCAAATCGACCCAGAGGAGGCGCACAAGCAGTTCCGGACAGCAGCGAGCGAGGATGGGCCCAAGGGCGCAAAGGATTTCATGGTCGCCCGCTCCTTGCACCCCATCTGCCTTGCACCTCCTCTCCTCGCACGCCCTTGCTGGTTGCTGTCCGGAACTCCTCCCGTGCCTGCTCTGGGTCGATCTGCACGCCCTTCCTGGCTCCCTACGCAGATCGACCCAGAGCAGGCGCGCGAGGAGTTCCGGACTGCAGCAGGCAAGGATGGCGGCAAGGGCGTGAAAGACTTCATGGATCCTAGTAAAAGGCTTAAGGACTTACTGCACAAGCCGACACACTTCTCCAATTCCCTCTCCTCCGCCTTCCCCTACCGCAGATCGACCCAGAGCAGGCGCGGGAGGAGTTCCGGACGGCAACCAGCAAGGACGGCGGGAAGGGCGTGAAGGACTTCATGGATTCCGTGGGGCTGGGCGGCTGGGTTGACCAGGTGCGTGCTCTGAGGGACCTTATAACGAGGGCAGCCAGCTACATGTCACACACCTCTTGGATTGAGGACGGAGGCAAGGGGTGAAGGATTTCACGGACTCTAGGACCTTTAGGGCCTAGACCCTGGGGCCTGGACTCTAGGGCCTGGACTCTAGGGCCTAGACTCTAGGGCCTGGACTCTAGGACCTCGACTCTAGGGCCTGGAATCTAGGGCCTGAGCGGAAGGTTGACCTGGTTCTTGAGTTGACCTGGTACTCCCATCCATATCCCCTCCCACCATTTCCCGTGTAACTGCATCTTGGCCCAATCCCCTCAGCTGAGCGAGCTGAAGCTGGGCGAGCTGCTAGACACTCCGCCTCCTGGGCTGGACGAAGCAGTCGCCATCGCTAAGGTGAGAGGAGGGGGGGAGAGGGGGAGGGGGAGAGAGAAGAGGAACGTGGAAGTGTGTGGGGGAGGTGGGGGGTTATGGGGGGTTATGGGTAGAGTGGATGGCTGGACCTCTGCCACCTGGGCTGGACGAGGCGATCGCCTTTGCCAAGGTGTAATACGTCTTTTAGAGTTCTCCAAGAACCTATTGGAAACGGGGTAACGGGAACAATGAACCGGAAGTGATTCCATTTGTATGATCTCTGATCAACACATTGCGCTCCCTTGAACTATTTTCCTCCTATTTTTCCATACGTGCTCCTCATGCAACCTTCTTACTTCGACTTCTATCTCCATTGTGGTGCAATTAAGGCAAGCGCCATACATCCAGGTTCAGCAAGTTCACTCACATGATCCCTTCATTGCAACTGTCCCTTTATTTTCCCATACTTCCCCTTCTCTCTCCTTTCCGCAGGTGGTGCAATTTATGCAGGCGCCAGAGTACAGCAACTTTACTCGCATCATCTTTGATACCGCACCCACGGTGAGTCAATCGCCTGCGTCATTTCATGTTTGATTCTACTGTGCCGTTGTTAATCAATACATGTTCCCCGGATGAACGCACGTTTGCTGGTGTATGCATTGAATCAGTAATGTATCGTTTCCTTGTGTGTGTGTTTTTTTTTTTTTTTTTTTTTTTTTTTTTTTATTCCTGTTGGTTTCTACCGAACCACTCCTTCCAGGGTCACACGCTTCGCCTCCTCTCACTCCCTGATTTCCTCGATGCTTCCATTGGGAAAATCCTGACAGTGAGTACCCTGTATGGTAATTCCATTATATCTGCTCCTTGGAACAAAGATAGGTACAGTTTTTAGAGTGCCTGTCACTGCTGCATCATTCACCCCATCATTGGCTCTTCACGTTGTGAATGGCATCATTGATTTTTGCTCTTCCTCCACCCTCCACTGCCCATGTACCACTTTGTTTCCCGCCCTGCCCCCAGCTCAAAGCCAAGATCAGCTCGGCCACGTCAGCAGTCAAGTCTTTATTCGGGCAGGAGGATGGGAAACCCGACACGGCAGTGAGTGGGGGCGAGGGCAGGTGGGGATAGGTTGAAGGTTGTTGCTGACATTGCAGAAACAACATGCGTACTGCCTCCATGGGTCAATCACTTCCCTCTGTCTCATTCTTGGACCTCCTTGATTAGACTTGGCAAGGTATTCAAACATGGTCTCAACCATTCCCATTCCACCCAGTGCAGCGTCATGCTTAGCAGCTGTTGTAGCCACCGCGTGGGGTACAAAGGGAATGGTTGGCACCATGTTCTTTGTACCCTGCCAAGGCTGATCAAACTACTACGGAGATCCTGGATGAGGCGGATGGAAGTAGCACAGAAATTATGCGAAAATATTGACTTTTGATTTCTGTGGTTTTTTTTTGTGTTGTTTCTGATTTTGTGTTGATTCAAGTGTTATGTCGCCGTGTGTGTGATTGTAACAGAATGACTCTTTATTTATGTCTTGCTCTAAATGTGATTGCATTCGATGGTGACTGTAGGTAGAGAAGCTCGAGCAGCTGAAGGAGCGCATGGTGATGGTGAGGGAGATATTCCGGGACCAGAAGGCCACAGAATTCATTATAGTCACAATCCCTACAGTCATGGCCATCAACGAGAGCTCCCGCCTGCTCAAGTCATTGGAAAAGGAGGGCGTTCCTGTGAAGCGGCTTATAGTGAATCAGATCCTGCCCAAGTCTAATAGCGACTGCAAGTTCTGCAACATAAAGCGCAAGGTACGTAGGTAGCTGTACTGGAGCAGCGTATAGTGAATCAGATCCTGCCCAAGTCTTACAGATACTGCAAGTTTGGTAACATGAAGCGCAAGGTGTGAAGGAATATGTTCGACTTGCTCTGTCCCCATTCCCACTCCACCTCATCACCACAGGAGCAGCAACGGGCGGACAAGGGGCACTTCAACGAGGTGGCTCATCGACCTGCTCTTCGACCTGGAAATTCTCGATAGCTTGCTCTTTACTCTGCCCCTCACCCTCTTCCCATCCTCCCTCCCACTCCTCACCACAGCACCAGCAACGGGCACTGGATGTTGTTCAAGCTGGCCCAGAGCTGAGCCACCTGAGGGTGATTGAGTCGTATAGATGCCTTCTAGCTTGCTTTTTATTCTACCCTTCCCCCGCTCTCCATCCTACCTCCACCTCCTCACCGCAGGACCAGCAATGGGCACTAAACATTGTTCAAGCTGACCCAGAACTGAGCCACCTGAGGGTGATTTAGTCGTCCTTCTACCTATGTATTCCCTCCAACTGATTTCTACTTTACCCTTTATTGCCCCCCACCTCATCACCGCAGGACCAGCAACGGGCTCTTGACATTGTTCAAGCTGACCCAGAGCTGAGCCACTTGAGGGTGATTCAGTCCCCACTCTTCGACCTTGAGATCCGGGGCGTGCCTGCACTCAAGTTCATGGGCGATCTGGTGTGGCGGTAGTGGCTAGTTCTGGGACTTGCTTCGAGACACGTTGAGGGTCATTCAATCTGCACTCTTTGACCTTGAGCTTCGTTGCGTGCCTGCACTCAAGTTCATGGGTGACCTGTGTCAACTTATCCATATGTTTGTATGTCGAAGTTATAGGCTAGCGGGGTTTGTGCTCTTAAAGCCCGTCCGGCAGGTTGCATATTAGTCCTGTTGAAGTAAGTGGGGCGGCAGATTAAGATTGGTTGACGAGGAAAAAGATAAGCGAAATGTTTTTTGCGAAACTTCATATTCGTCCACCACGTGCTTGCGCGGGAGTTCCCAAGGGCTACGCAACCTGGCAGAGGTGTCAGGTTTGAGCCCCGTCATTTGGCAGGGGACTCACACCTGCCTCTTTGCCATGTTGCAAGGGGGGTTTTCGTGCCTGCGTTTTTGCGCTAACAGCCCACATCGTTGTTTTTGTTAGGGCAAGTTGAAAGGAAACGAGTCTCAACTATTGGGCTTCATTTTCTCCCTTGTGCAATCAAGCACACATTGGTACACTTTCGCTAAACCGACTGAAAGTCAAAATTTGAACGAGTAATTACCCTTTGAGCACACTTCGTGCTTGTTCACCTCGATACTTGGCAGGGCGCTAACTTGCCAAGTTTGTCGAGGCACAGAGTTGAGGTGTTTGAGTCTCGTCAACCACTGCTGCGGGTGGGTTCGGTTACAGGTTCTCAAGATGCAGCATCTTGAGAAGTGAGAGTTGCAACCTGCTGGTCGGGCTTTAAGGGGTACAATTCCAATCCTATATCTCCCTTGTTCTCACCTGTTGCTAGTCATTCTAACATGGTATCACAGTAGGTTAGGCCCACCCACCCGCTTCTGCCCCTTGCCCTAGCCTACCGCGCACCGCCGGCCCCTCGCGCCCCGCCGGCCCCTCCCGTCCAGCCGGCCCCTCCCGTCCAGCCGGCCCCTCGTTCCGAGCTGACCCCTCGCGCCTAGCCGGCCCCTAGCGCCTAGCCGGCCCCTCCTGCCTAGCCGGCCCCTCGCGCCTAGCCAGCCCCTCGCGCCTAGCCGGCCCCTAGCGCCTAGCCGGCCCCTAGTGCCTAGCCACCCCCTAGTGCCTAGCCGGTCCCTCCTGCGTAGCCGGCCCCTCGCGACTAGCCAGCCCATCACGCCTAGCCAGCCCCTCGCACCTAGCTGGCCCCTAGCGCCTAGCCGGCCCTTCCTGCCTAGCTGGCCCCTCGCGCCTAGCCGGCCCCTAGCGCCTAGCCGGCCCTTCACGCTTAGCCGGCCCCTCGCGCCTAGCCGGCCCCTCGCGCCTAGCTGGCCCCTAGCGCCTAGCCGCGCCCTCCTGCCTAGCCGGCCCCTCGCGCCTAGCCGGCCCCTCGCGCCTAGCTGGCCCCTCGCGCCTAGCCGCCCCCTCGCGCCTAGCCGGCCCCTCGCGCCTAGCCGGCCCCTAGCGCCTAGCCGGTCCCTCCTGCCTAGCCGGCTCCTTTCGCCTAGCCGGCCCCTCGCGCCTAGCCAGCCCCCCTGTGTACTCGCCGGCCCATCGCGCACCTGCCCGGCCCCTCGCGCGCCTCGCCGGCCCTTCGAGCTCACCGGCCCCTCGCGCGCCCGCTGGCGCCACACATACCTCACCGGCCCCTCCCGTACCCGCTGGCCCCTCACGCCTTGCCGACCCTTTGCGTCTTGCTGCCTTTGCGTGCCTCAGGCCCTGAGCGCCTCGGGCCCTCCTCGGCCTTTCACTCGGTTTTCTAGCCAGAGATTCCTGCCGTCACGCTGCTGTGCCGTCGTGCTGCTGAGTACCTGTGCCACTGTGCCGCCGTGTTCTCGTGAAGCTGTGCCACCGTGGACCTGTGCAGCTGAGGTTGCACGATGACAGACGCCGTACTGCGCATGGACGCGGAAGGGCACGCGATCGACTTCGCCGCCTGGCTTGTCGATCTTCGTCGGCACCTGACAGGTCAGTGCCAGGATGGTCACTCCCTGGCTATGCGTGTTGATGGCTTGCTTCCCCGCCCCCCGGCGCCTGATCCCCTCCCTGCTGACCCCACCACTGCTGAGCGTGAGGCCTTTTCTGCTACTGCACTCGCTCGCGCTGTCTAGGATTCTTGCGATGATGTAGCGCAGCTCGCCATTAGTCATGCGCTTCCCCTGTCTGAGCACCCGCGCTTCACTGCTGTCGCGAACGCCAAAGACTTCATAGATGCAGTAGTTGCGCGCTACTCCACCCCTGCCTCTGCCTCCGCTGGCCGCTTGATCCTCCCCATGCTGTTCCCCGATCTTTCCGCATTCCCCATTGTCGCTGACCTGGCCACTCACCTCCGTGCACTAGAGACTAGCTACCGCTCTGCTAGCACTGCCACTCAGCTCATTGCCCTCCCCCCTAACCACCTTTGTCACTGCCTTGTTCGAGATATAGACTCGCCAGCGCACTATCGCTCAGTCGAGCGGTGTTGCGGCAGTCCCTATCTTTCAGGGCTGTGCTCCCTCCTAGTGCACGTACGCTGGCGTCTCTGCCGTGCTCGCTATAGCTGCCCCTGCCATTGACACCGGCTGCGGCCTTCCAGGAGCAGCGACAACGTCAAGGCCGCCGCGGCCCCAAGGGAGGGCATGGTGGTGACGCCGGTGGTGGTAGTGGTGGTGGTGGGCACAGTGGATTTGACGAAGGGGTTGGGGCTGGTGTCCAAGAGTAGCGGTAGCCGCAGCAGACGTAGCAGCAGCAGCCGCAGCCGTGGGCCCGCCTCCCGCCGGGGTGGCCAGGAGCCCCTGGAGGTGGTGGCTGTGGTGGCGGCCCTAGCATTTCAGTGTCTACCGGCGGCTTCGCTGTTGTGAGCTGCCAGTACCAGCTTCAGTCCGGGCCCCTCCGTGGCACTGTATCCCGCCGACCGCACCTGACTGCCCACTGCTTCCGCCGCCTCGACGACCTCTTCCGTCGCCGCTTCGGACCGGCTCCCGACCTCCCTGACTGGCCAAGTCTGCTGCGCCACGGCGTGCCTGTTTTTGACTTAGACATGGATCGACTTAGTTCCGCCCTGCATTCTCTTTATGCTGATGCTTCTAGTGTATCTAGATCTTATTACCCTGTGTTCTCTGATAAATGTGTAGTATTCGGTAGTGTAGTTTGCTCTAGCTGGTTGTGGGCTATTGGGTTTTGGGCAAAAGGACTTGGGTTGGTTGGCAAGGTTTGAACTCGTTACCTTTCCAACCCATACAACCTCAAATCCACTACAACATCTTTGATGTTGCAGTCATGGCACTTGAGAGTGTTGGGGTTTGGTCTAGGGCAAGGGTTGGTGGTGTTTGACAATCACATACTGCAACTTTTCCAGATCGCACTGCTTCCCTTCTCTTTTTTACTAGGTGATTCATGGCTGCCTAGCCAAATTACCAGAATACCCCCTCACACTGATTTCGTCATAATCGGCGGCTCAGATCTTGGTTATGAACATGCTTTATCATTCTGGAAAGTAGAGATTAAGACCTTTCCAACGCATATAAGCTCATTTCTAGAAGTTACCTGAGCAGCACGCAATGATCCGTTGAGGTCGTCAGACTTAATCTCTAATTAGTTCTCTCCAGATTTGCACGATTTCCATCATTCTCTAGCTTAGGTGTAGCACTTGTGTGTTGTACAGATTCCCCTGCTGCGTCAGGCACAGGACCGTTTGCTTTGTCTAGCCTAGGCTCTACACTCGCCCCTCCTTCGTTTGCCGCTACCGCTTCGCTGTCCTTCACACTTGACTTCAGTGCGTCGACCTGCTTCTTCCGCGACCACGCCACACTCACGCCACTTGCCATGCCTACCGCTGTCACACTTGCTGGCCCCTCTTCTGGTACTGTCGTTGCTCACAGCTACAATACCTTTCCCTGTCCAACGGTTTCCTTGGGTTCCCTTACAGGCCTGCACATCCCTTCGTTTTCCAGGAACTTAGTTGGTGTCGGCTGTCTTCAGGACCTCGGCGTCACCACTTCATTCCGTGGTCACGAGCGGTACGCTGTCTGTAGCGAGGCCGTCTTAGGTTCCCCTCTAGCAACGTTCCCCCGGGACCCGGTGTCTGGCTTGTTCACTCTGGACACTGCTTTCCACCCAGGCTGGTCCCCGGGCCCTGTATCTGTCCAGGTTGGCGCAGCTTGCTCGTGTCGGTCGCTCACTCACCCGTCGCTCCTATGGCACCACCGCCTAGGTCAGCCCGCACTCCTGTGTCTGCGTCACATGTCCCAGCACGGTCTCGTCCTAGGTCTTCCTGCGTCACTTGTTGCCCTCCCTCCCTCGCATGCGCCACGATGCACGCCCTGTGTCGAAAGTCGGCCGCGCCTTGCTCCTCACTCCTTCTTGCTTTGCCCTGCCACCGCACCTCTCTAGACCCTGCACTTGGACGTCACGGGCCCAGCTCTCGTCCCCGGACCTCGTCGCGAGCGCTATGTTCTCGTGATTCTCGACAATTATTCGCGCTACACAACGGTGTTTCCCTTGGAGCGGAAGGCTAACGTGCCCGACGTTCTTATCCCGTGGGTCGTACCTGTGCGCCTCCACCGCGGTCTCCCTTTGCGGTGTCTCCACTCCGACCGTGGCGGCGATTTCGCCTCTGGTCGGCTTGGATAGTTCTGTCGTGAGGAGGGCATCACCCAATCGTACACCCTACTGGACTCCCCGCAGTAGAATGGGGTCGCTGAGCGACTCATTGGTTTGGTCATGGAGGTGGCTCGTGCCTCCATGATCCATGCCGGTGCACCCCATTTTCTGTGGCCGTTCGCCATTTGCTACGCCGCTCACCTTCTTAACCGGTGGCCGTGCTCCTAGCGGCCGTAGGTTTCGCCGACCCTTCTTTGGACCGGGTTCCCAGGTGACGCGTCTGCGTTCCACGTCTGGGGCTGCCTTGCTCACGTTCGTACCTCTGGCACGGACAAGCTCACTGCCTGCACTGTCCTCTGTGTCTTCCTTGGTTTCCCCCTGGACTCTTTAGACTGGCAGTTTTACCACCTGCTGTCTCACCGCTTCTTTCACTCCCGTGACACTACTTTTGACGAGTCTGTTTCCTTTTAGCACCGCTTTCCCCATCGATGTCTCCCGGTTTCCCCTCCCCTGTTTTTGACTCCCACTCCCCGTGTAGCCCCTGCCCACCTCCCTCCCCGTCCGGCTTCTTCTGGTGTGTCTTACTTCACTCCCCTCCTGTCGGTTGTCCCAGTCGAGGATTTGGTTGACTCTGGTGGCCTCGCGGTGCCGTTCAGGCCCCCTGCCTCTCCACCGGTCTCTCCTCCTCCGCCATCGCACTCGCCACTAAAGCAACCGTTTTTGCAG